AATTCCACCCCAATAGGCTTGGGCCTGAGCCTTTTACTACCATCAGTAGTAACTGCATCAACTGTTTCTCATAGGAGACCGGAACCAAAGTCATACCCTTAATCTTCAACGGTTCTCCAGTGTATGTTCTCGGTCTGGCTGAGGTCTTGTGCAAACTTAAGGGTTGGAGTCCTGAGTAAGTGTTGTTAAAGACAGATTCTGCAACCACAGATATAGCTGTGCCAGTATCGACCTCCATGGGAACTGGGTGGCCATTTAACCAAACATTAATTTTAGAATTGCTTCTTATTTGGATGTTGCTAAGCAATGTAATTGTTCCAAGCCACATGCAGGGGGACATTCCAGGGTCTGCGCTCTGAGTACTGGAGTAAGAGACTTCTTACTCAAGTCAGGTCTTAAGACTCCTTTGTCTAGAGTCTGCATACCAGCAGCAACTACAATGGCTTGTCGGCCCAAATCCTGAAGAATGTTTTAGCCACTTGGCCAAATCCTGGCTTTGTTGTGGGGTTCTGCTGTGGTCTGGCCTAGGGTCTCTCTGCTCAGGTTGTGCCCTGTGTGAGTCTCTGCGATTGCCTACACTCGAGTGGTGATCCCCAAGCTCAGTCGGACAGGTGAGGGAGTCCACTTCCATTGGGATGCCCTGTAGCTACCATGTTCCACTTGCTGCATTTTCTAATGACAACACCAACAGTAGTGCATGTTTGAAATCCAGTTGGGCTTCAGCTAGTAGGCATATCTGCATAGTTACATCATTAATCCCACATACCAAACAGTCTCTCAGCATCTCATTCAGGGTCAACACAAAATCACATGCCTCTGCCAGTCATCATAACCTCATCAAAAATCCCAATAGAGATTCCTGTGGCTCTCTAACAGCCGAATAAAAGCAATAGTTTCTCACAATTAGAGGTGGTTTGGGGTTGTAAAATGCCTGAAAGCAACTCCATCAACTCTTGGAAGGCTTTAGTCTCTGGTACCACTGGGAAAGTTAAGCCCCTTATAACCAAAAATGCTGCAAGTCCACCAGCAGTCAGAAGGATTCCTCATTAGGGCAGATGAAAACCAATATCATTTGCCCAGAAAAAATTATCACATTCTTTCCACATACCGGGCCGTCTTTACCAGCAGGTTCAAATGAGTCAAGTTTCCCACATAAAGGCATACCCCAACTCAAGGACAACTGTTGCAAGCGAATATTCTTCAGGCACGCCCTGTTTTCTCTCATCACCGCTGAAATAACTGCACAAAAGGCCAGTATCCCATCACTAAGTCACCCCTTATTTACTTGTGCACAGTACACTGGCTGTGGCCAGCCAGCTCAGAGTCAGTCCCCCGGACTGAGGAGACTCTAAATTTCCTGATCATACTCTTTTATTCAAAATTCACAAACTAGTGTCACAGACACAACACAACATCAAAAACAAGTCACAGAAAACAAAGACGTTAACAAAGAACATCCTACAGAAAAACATTCAAGTCCAAACAGTAGAAAACAGTGTCCCAAACGCAGCACATAGCAAGGTCACTGTACATCAGCCAAATTGCCAAAGAGCAGAGACATTGACATAAAATACCGTATAGAAACGGTTCAGTTCAAACTGTAGCACAAAATCTTACAGACAAACACATAGCGTCAGTCACAATATATCAAAAACAAGTCACATTAACAGAGAACATCCGAAAAAAAAATCAGTTCGAACAGTAAATTCAAGTCCACATAAGATACGTGTCTTGAACACAACACATGGCAAGGTCACTGTACATCAGGTAATTCACCAAAGAGCAGAGGTGTTGACATAAAATATTGTTCACAAACACAGTTTGGTTCAAACAAAAGTACAAAACCACACAGATAAACACACAGTCCCAAAGCTTTTGGTTGGCCTCGTACACATGGTGGGGAGGCACGAAGACACGATACATGCACAAAAGCATAGCCCAAACATGAAGACACAGTATGCTCACAGAGGCACGGTCCAACACACGCTGAGGCATGGTCTATCCACAAAGGCCATGTCCACACACAAGTTCAGTCGAGGACCCATACACTAAAGCAGTGGCACAAAGGCCAGGTGCTGTTACCAAATCATCCATTCATTTCACCAATATAAAACAGTATCGCTGGCTGTGATCAGCCAGCTCAGAAATCAGTTCTCAAAAACAGCAGCATCACTGGCTGCAGTCAGCCAGCTCGGAGTCAGTTCCCAGGATGGAGGAGATGCTCATCTCCTGGTTATATTGGTTAGCCAGGGCTCTCCCGATTGGGGTCATTAAGCTGGGCCAATCAAGGATCTCGTAGTCAACAAGATCCAGCTGGTTCCAATCACTACAGAAGCCCCTTCTGGAAATCCAAATATATTACATCTACTGGATCCACTTTATCTGTCCTGCTTGTTACCTTCTTAAAGAATTCTAACACATTTTTCAGGCATGATTTCCTCTTTGTGAAGCCATTCTGACGTTGCTTGATCCCATCATGTTTTTATAAATGCTCTGCTATTGCATCCTGAGCTGATTTGAAGGCATCAGTGTCAGCTGAGTCATTGGTAGAACTCTCACCTCTATCAAGACGTTGTGGATTCAGGTTGCACTACATAGTCTTGAGCATGTAATCCAGGCTCTCATTCCTACTGCAGTACTGAGGGAATGCTGTTTTTCAAATGAGATGTTAAACTAAGGTTTTAGATGGATGCAAAAGATCCCATGTCATGTTGGTTTTAAAGAAGCAGGGGAGTTCTCACTGGTGCCCTGACCAATATTTAATCATTCAACGAAGATCACAAAACCAGATCACCTGTCATTGTCATAGTACTGTTTGTGAGACCTTGCTGTGAGGAATCTGGCTGCTGCGTTTTCTATATTACAACTGAAAGTCATAAAATCGGCTGTAAAATTCACTTACAGTAAAACTTGCGATGTCCCAGATTCAGTAAAGACACTACATAAATGCAAGTTCTTAATTTATTTTTCACCACAAAATAAAATACTGACCAATGCCCTGAATTGTATGAGGGAATAGACAATATTTCAATAAAAAGATTATCTACAGCATCATGTTAAAGAGATAGAAATAATATTCCTTGTTCATTTAAAATTACTGAATTAAATCCCTCAGGATTAAACATTGCTACCTGACTTCCTCTACTCAATTTGCATTCGAGATCAATCCTTGAAAGTTCACCTGTGAATTTGTCCATTCCTATGCAGATAATCCAAGCCCTCCAACACTTCTTTTAACACTGTTGCTATTACTGGCTCATCTAGCACGCCATTCTTGTGTTCATTGTTGCTGATTGTCCTCCTGATTATATCCAACATAGAGCCTGAAACAGGAGCAAGAAATGCTGGGTCACCATGCATCCAAACACAAATCTCTTTCTCTTACAAGCAACTTTGCTCACTCACTATCTCTCACTCTAACCTGCTCCCACTTTCCACCTCTCCAATTCCCTGAGTGCCTCAAAGTTTAAAATATCCCAATTTTGAATCTACTCAACTAATTAACACCAGAGTGATAGAATTTTTCCTCCTTTCTGTCTGAATTTTCTCACCTCCGCTCAGCAGCTTCATGACCAACCAGAGTTCATCCTTCACAACAAATGAGGTGAAATAGGTCACGACATTGGGGTGATTGCACTGACTCATGGCTTGAATCTCTTTCTGTTCAGAGAAAAACAAAGTGATCAACGTTTTGCAGCAGTATTTCATTATGTGCCTCTTAACTCCATGACAATCTGTCACAACCCAACGTAAGCTGGAACAACAGAAAAAGTCATCACCATAACAAAACACTGATTATTCCAAGTCACTCATCATCCTGACTTGGGAATATATTGCCGTTCCTTCAGTGTCACGGAGTCAAAATTCTGGAATTGCCTACCTAACAACATTGTGGGTTTCACAGCACATGGACTGTAGCAGTTCAAGAAGACAGCTCTTCGCCACCTTCTCAAGGGGCAACCAGGGATGGCAATGCATGTTGGCCCAGCCAGCGATGCCCACATCCCATAAATGAATTCAAAAATCCCTGAAAATATGCTGGAACAACAGATATTCTCACAAAAAAAAAAGCACTGATTGTATCTATTGCCCTCTATATGCTTGATTAGGTATGGGGAGGTTCAAACTAGAAAGAATGAATATGTGGGCTTAAAAGCAAGGACAGGGATGAACCTCGTTGTGAAGCCTTCAGCAGGTGCATGAACTGCTTATCTAGATTCACACAAAGCACAGTTTTCCTAACTCTATGATGCAAACCAGGCCTACTGCCAAACTAGAAAACACTGTTTGAATCTACAGCTAACTGAAGCCTGTAATTTTGTAGTGGACAAGCTCTACTCATTGACCCTGTGGCTGTCATTTAGTTTTAGTTTCTTGCTCTGCACCGGCTCTGAGATTGGCCATTGACCTGCTTCCAAGTTCTGTCAATGCCCTAGCTTTCACTGGTGCAACATCTTGTAGCACTAGCCACAGTAAGCACAAAAAACTTTGGCAAGACAAACTCTTGGCTAAATTTGGTGCCATAACTCACCAGGAGCTCGTCCATACTTGTGTTGCATTTCTCCAGATTGATTCTCTTTATTGCCACCCTCTCCTTCTTGGGTTTGCAGAGAGCTGCTTGTACTACAGCAGTGGCCCCACTGCCTGCAGCAAGAAAAGAAGAGAAACTCACAATTAGCAATCATAAGGGGAAAAAAAAACAGAAAAAAAACAAACTCATCCAGCATGCTGCTCTTGACTTTTTCCAATAGTCTCCAGATTCAGCAAAGCTTCTTCCAGGCTAATCTTTTGACAGACAGTTTTCTAACTCAAGGGTCAATTCTTCACAATTAGTTTACTGTTGGGACTGACCCATGATCGGTGGTCTCTTTCCAGAGGCGATCTTTGAGAAAGCTTTCTGAACATTTAACAATGGTCGAATGCAAGTTGCTGTTGACAATTGTAAGGTTTTCAGTTCACAGCAAGTTGCACCAATACAACTGAAAATCTAAACCACTTTGTATACTTGGGCATATGCAATCAACGTTTTTTTGATAAGTCATTATCTTCATGTACTAGGTCACAGGTTTGAACCTGAAATTGATACCTGTAAATTAATTGATTTCAGATACGTGACCGTGGGGAGCTAAGCAGAAACTAAGCCATTTTAAGCAGAAAGTTGGGGAGGTAGGGGGGAAATGGAAATATTCAAATTGAGCCACTTGTGGACATGGTCCCACAGATTTTATTAATGGATTAAATGACTGTCCCTTGTCTTAGCTAAAAGCTTAGGAGCCTTGGACGAACCCATTCCGTGTGTTGGAGCATCCTCTTCCATGCAGGGGCAGAGCTGAGTTGATGCAATTAAACCTATGCTCAGTATTCTTGCGGCACTGCCATTCATTGTTTAGTCTGTGTTTGACTGGTCTACCCCACAGCCCTTCCCCTCCCCTTTAAAATGTCTTACAACAGTATCACTAGCCCACCCATTCTGACACCAGCATTTTTGTTACTATCACTCAGTCAATTACCTGGTCATTTTCAAGTTGTTTCATAGACAAAAGAAGATGCTGAATCAATTTGTTAACTTTGGATCAACAGTGGCATTTTCATCGCTGATTCAGAACACTAGGGGTTCAAGCTCCAGTCCAGAGACTACAGCGCCATAGCCTAGGCTTACATTTCAGTACACTAAGTACTAAGGAAATATTAAGCAAGTTGGGGGTCAGTTAGCTCAGTTTTCTGGTCAGCTGGTTTGCCAAGCAGAGTGATGACTGTTACTATGAAGGACTCTCCTTCTCAACCTCTCCCCTCGCCAGAAGTGTGGTGACTCTCAGGTGAAACCACCACTGGTCAATCTTTCTGATGAGAGAATGGGACAATGGTGACTTTACCTTTTTTTACCAAGGGAGTGTAGAACTGCTGGGAGGTATCATGCTTTGGGATGATGGAAAAGATCCTATAATATTATTTGAAGTAGAACAGGGTAGTTCTTCCCTGTGGCTTGTCCAATATTTATTCCTGAATCAACACCACTAAAAACAGATTATCAGGTCATTAGCACATTGCTGTTTGCTATTTCACCCAATTGAACAGTGACTACATTTCAAGAATACTTGCTGTGAAGCATTTTAAGAACATCCCGAGGACAGGAAATGCACTATAGAAATGTGTTTCTGTAAATATTACAGGCCACATCTCCAAATTGATGCAGTAACTTCACCCAGTTACTGCTGAACTGTGAAAGTGCCTTGTTCCTGTTAATTTGCTGTGAGCAGGAAGTTTGCTGAAATTCTGCATGTTTACCACTACAAGGATAAACTCCAACAGTGCACAGAGGTAGAAGATACAAGGTAAAGGAGTATAAAAACAGTGACTATTCTTTAAAGAACTCCACTGGCTGTAGGACATCCTGAGATCATGAACAGCACTATATAAACGTAAGTTTTTTAACAAAAGGATGCATTTATAGACTATCAACATTTAATCAACAACTATGGAATATCTGGGAGTGGATTATCCTTAAAATAAATTGAAAACATTTCCTTCCTTACAGGCGTTGACTCCTTACTAGGGTGCAGTTTCTCTGGTACAAAAAATAATATGCTGCACATGCTGGAAATCTGAAACCAAAATAGAAAATGCTGCAAATACTCAGCAGTTCTGGGAGCACCTGTGAAGACAGAAAGAGAGTTAATGTTTCAAGTAGATGATCTTTCATAAGAACTCATCTGAAATATTAACTCTGTTTCTCTCTCCCCAGAAACTGCCTGACCTGCTGGATATTTCTAATGTTTTCTGATAGGTGAGAATCTCTCCTGGATATCTCACCCAACTGACCGTTCTTCACGTGAAGCTTAACAATGAGCATCGACAGAGTACTTCTCCTTGGAATGGGTGACACTCGTCCTGATCTCAGCAATATACATATCCATGTGTTTCCTACTGGGTGGTGGGCAGTCAGGAGCAAGAGCCCTGACTAATTTATTCCACTTAAGCACTGGAGGGCACAAATAGTTCCTCAGCCCCCAGTCTGACACCAGCTATACTCATCCAACTCAGCAGCTCAATCATTGCAGCTTTCCGTGGCTTGGCTCCACATCAGGTAAGTCACTGGGCAGGCACCAATAATTATTACTTAGAAAAAGCCAAAAAACCCAAGACGAGGTGAGAGACTACAAGTAAAAGTCGCCCAGTAGACACAGTTTAAAAAAATGGCAATATATTATCAAAGCAATGCAGAAACATATTTTCTGCTTTCATAGCAACAGTCTGGAAATCATTAGGAGTGGTCTGACTCTGGTAAGCAATGGTTCAATGTTTAATGTTCAGCTTTAATGGATCATGAATGGAAGATTCCAACAAACATGATAGTTGTGGTCCATGAACCACAGTCATAGCACTTAATAAGAATTAGCTGTTTCCTTCCTCACCAAAGTTACTCGGAGACAGAATGATGATGTTTACCTGTTAAGGTGGCATATTGCCAGAATTCCCACTGTTTAAATAAGCACATCCTGAGGGTCTAAATGAGCAGCACTTGTTCATCCCCAGTTCTTGCCCTTAGGAGGAGACCATGTTATCAAGGTTGGGAAAACCAGCAGCAAATGGCTGACTTTCTTCCATTTATTAAAATTGTTAAATATGTAAAACTCTCAAAAGTAAGTGTTAAACTTTAATATCTGCACTGTGACAGAAGCATACTAACTGTAAAACTTCAAATAGTAATTTTTTTACTTCACACTTTGCACAAGGGGCACATTTAAGTGCAGAATTAACTCAAGTGAATGGAATATCATACTTCCATGAATTTTCGACACAGGTTCCCATAGGAAACACAAAGTCAGAAAATTATTCTTTTAAAATAATTTTTTGATCACTACCGACTAGACTAACTCATGCTTCAAATTTCACAAACTCTGGACTAAAATATTAAACACAACATATAAAGATTTAAAAAACTATGAAAAATGTGTGTAGGAAAACCCCTCGGTCTTCATGAGAACTCAAACTCCCACACACCACAGCACCAACCCACAGTAAATTGACTAAATCACCACTCACAACTAATATTCTTCCATGATACTGAATACAAATATCACATAGATCCTTCATTTATTTCATTTTTCCCCAAAGATTTTACAATGTAAAATTAATTAGTCATCGTTTGACTAGAAAAAGGCCCAGTGCAATGTAATACTTAAACGATTTATGTAGAGACAGGTGTGGTTCCCACCCCTGTACTGTCAAGCCAGAGTGACAGAAATGTGAACACCATTGGCTTGGTTATCCAGGTTCCAATCATATAACCTTCTCTAGAAACCTTCCATCCATAGGCAAAGTCGGAATTATTCCAGAGAGTTTATCTATTCTTTCCTGGGATGTAGGCATCATTGGCAAGGCCAGCATTTATTCCCAATCCCATACTGACCTTGAATTAAGTGGCTTGTTTGCACATTTCCAAGGGCAATCAAGAGTCAACCCCATTGTTGTTCTTCTGGAGTCACATGTAGGCCAGACTACGCAAGGATGGCAGTTTTCCTTCCCTAAAGGACATTAGTGAACCAGATGGATTGTTATCACAACGATAATTGCTATGATTGCCATCATTGAGACGAGCTTTATGTTCCAGATTTATTATTTTAAATTACACCAGCTGTCATAGTGGGATTTGAACCAGGGTGGACAGAGCATTAGGCCCCTGGATTACTAGTGCAGTGACATTACCACAGCATGACCATAATCACCAAGACAATTGTGCTGGGACAATTATAGGCTTCTTCTATGTTCAATGTTCTATGTTCTTCTCAGTAATTAACATTCTCTTCCACCCACATATTCAATGTCAAATGTACAGACCTTCCAGACGTTTTCTCTCTAAGATTCAGACTGTTCATACAGTTGACTTAACCATGACCTCTTCATTCACTGGCTTTCTTCTCAGAGTAGCCTCGATTCCATGAAACTCTGTAGCTTTCTCTTGACCTCTGCAAACTTCACCACACTGTCCTTCATCAGTGCCCTCTCCATTCAACTGGTATTCCTTGCCTCAATGTTCATTGAGATCATTAATGCTTCCTCTCACGGGCATCATTCCCCTCTCCTTTAACACTGCTGATACCAACCTTACAGAGGTTGTCTACCTCTGTGCTACTACTCTAACATATCCCAAAATATCCAATGCATTTTCAGCAATATCTTCTCCTCCAGTCTCCACTTCTAATGTACCTGACTGTTTCAGGGTTAGTCTATTACTTTTTCTAGTTTGGACGGGTCTGTGTACATGCTGAATATGCCACTCCTCCACACCTATTGACTTCATGACTACTTCTATGTTAGATTGAGCAATGTTAGATCATGGATGAGGAAGAACTTTGTTCCATCAAACATTATGAAG